GTGTTTACCCATTCAGTCAGAAGTTAAACCTCACCCCAATTCAGAGAACCCACTCAACTGACAATATTATTGAATATAATGAATGTGGAACTTTTTGCAGTGAAAAATTAGTCTTTCATGTACAACAGAGAACACATACAGGAGAAAAACCTTATGAATATCATGAATGTGGAAAAACCTTCACTCAGAAGTCAGACCACACAAGACATCAGAGAACACACACAGGAGGAAAACCCTATGAATGTCATGAATGTGGGAAAAACTTCTGTAAGAATTCAGACCTCATTAAACATCAAAGAATTCATACAGGGGAGAAACCTTATAGATGTCATATGTGTGGGAAATCCTTCAGTGAAAAGTCAACCCTTACTCAACATCAGAGAACACACACAGGGGAGAAACCATATGAATGTCATGAATGTGGGAAAACCTTCTCATTTAAGTCAGTCCTTACTGTGCATCAGAAAACACACACAGGGGAGAAGCCCTATGAATGCTATGAATGTGGGAAAGCCTTTCTCAGAAAATCAGACCTCATTAAACATCAAAGAACTCATACAGGAGAGAAACCTTATGAATGCAATGAGTGTGGGAAATCATTCTCTGAGAAGTCAACTCTTACTAAACATCTAAGAACTCACACAGGTGAGAAACCTTATGAATGTATTCAGTGTGGAAAATTTTTCTGCTACTACTCTGGTTTCACAGAACATCTTAGAAGACACACAGGGGAGAAACCTTTTGGATGTAATGAATGTGGGAAAACCTTTCGTCAGAAGTCAGCCCTAATTGTTCACCAGAGAACTCATATAAGACAGAAACCCTATGGATGTAATGAATGTGGAAAATCATTCTGTGTGAAGTCAAAACTCATTGCACATCATAGAACACACACAGGGGAGAAACCCTATGACTGTAATGTTTGTGGAAAATCATTCTATGTTAAGTCAAAACTCACTGTACATCAGAGAACACACTTGGGAGAAACCCTATAAATATAGTTAAGTGAGGGAAATTACTCTGGGTGAAGTCAGAACTTTGTAGAAGAGAATATACAGGGTGAGAGAAATCTGTTAATATAATGCTAATAAGAACACCTTTGCCCTGAAGTCAGTTCTCACAGTATAGAAGAGAACTTAAACAGGGAAAAAGACAATATGAAGATATGGAATGTAGGAACACATTCCTCTGGAATTTGGACCATACATTATGTTGCAAAACTAAAAGTGGAAAAAACTTATTGGCAAATGAATATAGGAAATATTTTGCCCAATGCCACATCTCAGTAAATATCAGAGAGTTCGCACAGCATAGAAACTTGCGACAGCATCCCCAGATTAAGAAGGGATGCATTTTTCTGCTAATACTCCAGTTTTACTGAACATCTGAGAAGCCACACAGGGCGAAACCTTTTGGGTGTAATGAATGTGGGAAAACCTTTTGTGAGAAGTCAGCCCTAATTTTTCACCAGAGAACTCATATAAGACAGAAACCCTCTGGATGTGATGAATATGGAAAATAATTCTGTGTAAAGTCAAGAGGCCAGAGAAAATGCACAAACTATAGGAAACTATAGGAAAGCATTTACTATGAGGTTATATTTTATGGAGAATGTGTAATTTATAGTAGCTTCTCAGTGAACATCAGATAGTAGAGAAGGCATTTTTAACTATATCTAATGCATGGAAGCTTTAAGTTAAAATCTAAATTTAATATAGACCAGAGATGTTGAATTTGCAGGATATCTAGCAATTTAACAAAATGTGGTAAAAAAGGTTTTTATTGAGGAATAGCATTTTACTTTGTAAAAATCCAATTTAGTTCATTGTGAAGACTGCTATTTTCTAAGATAGAGATTTGAAAAGATGCCACTCTGGAGTCAATAGCTATAAGTAGTTACTGCTTAGTTATATGCAAAATCAGGGACGATTTTTAGCAAGGGGACCCAGCAGCAAGAGTGCACTTGTATGTCCAGGTAAAAAGAGAGAGACCCTCAACCTGGGGACATAGGACAGGAGCCTGCTGCCAGGATTTTTCAATAATCCTGAGACAGACTGATTTCAGGTGACCCATCTCAGAATGGTGGATCAAAGGGGCAAGTCAATTTGCCTTGTATGCAACTTACAAGGATTAGTAGGATAGAGTGGATCCAGATTTTTGGTGGTTTCGACCGTAGCGTATGTCTAACACATAAGCCAGGACGTTGTGCTGTGAGTGACTTCTTATACTCAACTCTCTTCATACCCAATTTCTCTTCATACTGCAACATGTCTTTCATAGGTGATACAGCTATTTTGAAAATACATATAGATGTAACAAATATGGAGCTTTCAAAAAGTACAAATAGGCTGGACATGGTATCTCATGCCTGTAATCCCAGTACTTTGGGAGGCTGAGGTGAGCAAATCACCTGAGGTCAGGAGTTTGTGACCAGCCTGGCCAGCATGGTGAAACCCTGTCCCTACCCAAAATACAAAAATTAGCTGGGCACGGTGGCACATGCCTGTAGTCCTGGCTACTAGAGAGGCTGAGGTGGTAGGATCACTTGAACCTTGGAGGTAAAGGTTGCAGTGAGCTGAGATCATGCCACTGTACTCATTCCAGCCTAAGCGACAGAGACTGTTTCAAAACAAACAAACAAAAAAGCAAAAATAGATTTTGCTGTTGGGTAAGGTATAGTAATTGGCAGAAGAATGGACCCCTTGAGACCAACTCTATAGAAGCAAAGAGGACTAAAGTGGCAAAATTCTAGAGAGTGGAAAATCCCAGAAATCACATGGACAGAATGCAGCTGTTTGCTCTGGGGGTCCTTTCTACTTCTGGCCATAGGGAAGAACCTGAATACTGAACTTGGTTCAGGCAGAGGGCCATAACCTAGGGGTTATGGGGGGGACCAGAAAGCAGGAGAACAATCAAGACTGCATTGAAAAAAAATTTATACATTAGGGGTCAAACACATACTATTTCTCAAGAAATCTTCAGATGTCTCACACTGCATAGAGCAGGAGCCTGAAAAGCTAATTTGAGAAGAAAAAGGATTTTTGTTTTGTTTTGCATTTTGCAGTACAGAGGAGAAATGATTAGAACTTAGGAAGTGCTAGCAGGCTGGTCCTTTGGTGAACATGCCATCAGTAAAAGTCCTGGAAACAAGGTCAAACCAGAGGTTGATTGTGCCTTGTCACAAATGCAAACAATACCTGAGTGAATATTAAAAAATTTGCTTAGAAAGAAAAACTCTAGGAACAAATGTCTTCACTGCAGTTATTCCAACTATTTAAGAAATAAAGAATACCAAGCTTTTATAAACTTTTTTTAGAAAAAAAATGATGGAACTTTTCCAATTTAGTTTTTGAGGCCAGTACAACCTTGATACCAAACCTAAAAAATAAATAAATAAATAAAGCAATAGACCAAAATCTGATTGATTTAGATGCAAAATCATAAAATTAAATTCTAGCCATATCCATAAACTATATCATCACCAAGAGATGGTTATTAGGGCAATCAAAAGATGGTTTATTATTTAACCAATATTCAAGAAAACAATGTGGCCTTCCATTCCTCTTTCTTTTGATTCCTCCCTATGACTTTTCATGTGTCTCTCTTGCCTGCCCTCCCCAGAGTGGAGGAGTAAGACCTTCCTTGTGGGATGAGAGGAGTTGTGACCATGTGCCTACTGGAACCAAGAGGGCTAAGGGTGAGGTGTGGAAGGGAGAGGTGGAGGAGACTGTTGAGAAATTGGTAGCATTGAGCAAATAAATATGTTGAGAATGATGAGAGCAAGGCTTCTCTCTGTTAGAGAAGGTATTTATAAAAATAGAGGGTGGATCCAAGATGGCCATTTAGGAACAGCTCAGGATTGAAGCTCCCAGTGAAAGCGCAGAGGGTGAGTGGATGCCGCATTGTTATTACCCACAGACTAGGAAGCTCTCAGATGGAGGAGCTCCGTGGGTCGCCAGCACAGTTGTGACGGCTGGCGTCGCTGCTTGGCCCCGCGCAGCTGCTTTGTCAGCCTTCCGGCGCAGCGGTTCTCCATACAAAATACACTGGCGATTGGAGCCACGGGAAGTCGCCCATCCATCTGGTTAAAAAGGGGACTGAACAGGGAAACAGGACAGTAGATTCTAGGGCAAAAAAAGCGCCACGAATCTCAGTGCCGCTGTTTAACCCAATGCAGTGAGTCACCGCATGGGAAAACACACAGATCCCGATGCCTCTTCACAGGTGAAGGGAGCACCAACTTAAAAAAAAAAAAAGGCCCTGAGGCAGGGAGACAGGCGATCAGGCTCGACTCTTCCCACCCCCACAAAAGAACAGCAATCAGAAACTCTCTGGACTGAGAGTTTCACAGCAAGCGCAGCTGAACCCGGGACGGTCCAGCTCTGTGGGGGAGGGGCGTCCGCCATTACCGAGGCAGCCCACCACTACGGAGGTAGCCAGCCAATGCTTAGGCAGCCTGCCATTGCCAAGGCAACCAACCATTGCTGAGGCAGCCAGCCGTTGCCAAGGCAACCCGCCACTACAGAGAGAGTCCACCACAAGAGAGGCGGGCCACCATTGCTGAGGCAGTTCTAACACCACCCATATAAATAGGACTGCAGGGAAGCTCACTCGGCAGCTGGGCAGAGCCCCCAGCAGCTCAGCAAAGTCTCTACAGGCAGACAATGACTAGGCTGCCTTCTTGCTAGGCAGGGCAGCTCTGAAGGAAAAAAAAAGAAGGCAGCAGCATAATGGAAACTCATAAATAAAGCCCTAAATCCCTGGGACAGAGCACCTGGGAACAAAAAGTGGTTTATGAGCTCTGCTGCAGCAGACCTAAACATACCTGCCCAGCAGCTCTGAATGAACAACGGAGCTCACAGCTCAGCATTTGAGCTCCTATAAAGAATAGACTGTCTCCTCAAGCAGCTCTCGGACCCGTGTATATCTAAAGAGCCACCTCATAAAGGAGAGATCAGACTGACACTTGGCGGGTATCCTTCTGGGACAAAGATAGCAGAAGAAGAAAACTGGTAACAACCTTTACTGTTCTGCAGCTACTGCAGGCGATCCCCAGGCAAGCAGGGCCTAGAGTGGACCTCAGCAGTCCTACAGCAGAGGGACCAGACTTAGAAGGAAAACTAAGAAACAGAAATAACCTCATCATCTGCAAATAGAACGTCCACTCAGAGACCCAATCTGAAAGCCAGCAACTACAAAGA